CAAAGATCTTAGCTCACACTTCTGTGCTTCAGGCACAAGTTTAAAACTAGTTATTACAGGAGGTGGCTGCACATCAAAGGGCGCACGCATGTTTAGGAAAAACAAGAATACGATGAGTCCCCCTCCTGACTTGAAAATTATACGTTACATTTCTGGCTTAAGTGAGAGATTAAAAACTGCAAATATTTCAGGTGTTTGGATCATCTAAGAACTTATTTTAGAGGTTAAAGATGCTAATGAGGGTACAGAAGTTCTCTCAAGGCAAGCAATGATTAACTCAGAGATTGCCAGGCTGAGCTCCAAAACAGCCTACGCATGGTGCAGTCTAATTATTATTATTATTCTTAAAGAAGAGCTATTTTGGTCTTGCATGAAGTTACAAATACAAAGAACAAACCAACCAGTTTCAGCAAGACAGACTCAGCCCACTTTATTTTAAATCCTCAGGCTGCGTCTCCCTCAGTCCTCGTCTGCTCCCAGTTTCCCAGAGTTTCCTACCCCGCATGGTGAGTTTTGCTCCTCGCCGATCCCACTCACCCATGCTCCGGCTCCTCGATGGGATCCGTGAACTCCGAGTGCACGGTGGAGTCGATGGCACTATCCGTTTCTACTTCGTCGTGCATCTCGTGATGTACTAGTGTGCTGGTGTCTTCATCCGTGAAGGTTTCGCACTCGCTGTACGTGCTCTCTGAGCCCATGTAAGCACTGTCAGTCACCTCATTTGCCTGTTAAAAAAAACACAAGAGGGAAAAAAAAAATAAGATAGTATAGCTATGCGGTTTCATTGCAGAGCAGGAGAAAACACGTATGGGGTAGCTAATTACTGCTCTGTTGCATTTCTAAGCACAGAAATCCAACCTCCTAAAACCAGCGTGAGCCGTACCCCACGTCCAGGTGCTGCCCCGTCTCCAGGTCTGAGGACCGAGTGCCACCCCGGGGTGCACCGTGGCCTTTGGGCTGCGCATGCTTCGCAACAGTGTTTGGAAAGCAGCTTACAGAAATATATACACTAAATAAGAGTTGGAGGGAGATTTTGTTATGAGCGAGTATGGATTTGTCGAGTCCAGGAGGGATTACCCTGCTTACTCAGCGGTTCTGATCACCATTGCTTTCACCCACTCCATTTTAAGAGGACACATTATTAATCTGAATTCTTTGCAAAAGCCACCATTCAAAACTACCAGTTAGCCCTTAAAGCATTTTCCCCCACGTCTAGTAATACGAGGGCACCTTCCATCCCTCAACAGAACATAAGCTGGTTTATAAATCTTCATTACAGCATCTAATTTGCAGGGACTGCATCAGCAGGACACTCAAATCTCCGCACTTCAGCTGGAACAGCATCTCGAATATTTTGCACTACTTCACCACACCCATTACCCGCAGCAGGCTCTAGGAAAGCAGCACGATTTGGTTTTTAAGACACCACGCTACGAGCACGGAGGACTGGGTTTTCCTCCCAGCTCTGCCCCTTAGGCAGGCATTCACCTTCGGTCCTGCCCACTTGGTCGTACACGTGGGCAGGCATGGTCCTCCCTGGACACACACGGTGCTGAGCCTAGAACCGGCCCGATGTTCGGAGGAGAGCCACAGGGGCACTAGAAGAAACACCTTCCTAAAGCAAAAGCTCTTGTTACCCGAAGTGCCAGCTCATTTCCCAGCACTGATGGGATTTCCCCAGCGCACCTCAGCACAAATCAAATCATTTTTGGCTCGGGGATCTCAATCGTGGCGAGACCTGTCAGTGCTGGCACTGAGCTCCAGCCGATCCCCTGTCACCGGAGGCGTCGGGCAGAGGTCGCTGCCTGCCCTCAAGAGAAAAAGACGCTCGTGAAAAGCCATTTGCTCCATCTGAAGTTCACCCAACGGGATCAAATTTGCTCAGCTGCTGGCTGCACCCCCTCCAGCATGGCAACAGGGCAAAGCAGCAGCATTTTGAACGCAGACACCAACATTGAAGCAAACCTCTCTTCCTCTGCCAGAGAGCACAAAGAGCAACTTTCAGTGCTTTTTCCAAGGATTTTCAAGAAAATGAGATTTCTGAGCCCTGCATTACTGCAGCTGGAAAGAAAATACACAGGCATACTGTCCTTGTGACAGCAGAATGAAAAATTACATTAGAGCTTTTCATTCAAAGCAGGGTACGTATACAGCAGGATGGAAGAGTCTTGCTCATTGCTGCAGACGTTGCCCTGCGGTGGAAGAGCAGCTTTTAGGGCACGTGCTGTATTTGTACAGCAGGAGAGCACCAGACCAAGAGAGACAAATGTCCCGCTGCCATCGTGTTGCCTAGACTTTGCAAATGCTGCTCTCGCTGGCCTGATTTTCCTCTTTTGGGTAAATACTCCGCAGCCCAAAGAACTTCTGCAGCTTTCACTGGTGCAAGGCAGCTGAAGACACAACCAATGCCTCATTTTGTTTCACCCACAAATTCCCGGGCTGCCTCAGCACGTGTGAGGCCAAAAAGGGACAGCGAGAACTTGTACGGGTGCTCTGAAAACCTTGAAGGGATGGATGGAGGACTGCTCGACAGCAGTTCCTATTCTTCACGGACACTGGGGAGCAGGGCAAAGCGACCGAGTCAATACCCTTGGCTTTGCTCCCTGCCGAGTGCTCTCATCAGCCCTTGCACTCAGCGGGATGATGGATGGAGGCAGACAGGAGCCCCTCTTGTAAGCTTGGCTCAGCTTTCAGAGACCCGCGCTGACCTACGGACACCAGCATCTCTCTAAGACACCATCCTGAAGTTAAACATGACAGAAATCTTCACAGAACCGGAGTCTAAAGTCAGCATCAGGAGAAGACGGGGTTGTTCAAGTGAACTTGATTCAAACGGAGGAGAGGCTGCTGCAGCAAACATCATCCCTAGCACAGAGAAGACAGCTTTCACTAGCCTTCGAGGTAAAAAACAAAAGCCTCCTAAACCCCCCACCCATTTTAAAAAGCATAAATCCAGCAAGACTACTTATATACCTAAAGCTGGGGACTTGCTTAAGTGCTTTACTGGATTTATGCTACACTTCCTAGAAACACCAGTCAGGCTCTTAATGCTTGAGCAGAAGGAGGACGAGGGAGATCTGGAAGAGGAGGCTTGGTCTGCCAGATGGCTTGCAGACACACGAGGACGTTGCACCATCCCCGAGCCGAGCCCGGCAGCTCCCCAGCCTCCAGAGGAAGGCGCGCTCGGGCAATTTGAGCGCTTTTCCAAGCTGTCTGCAGCATACGCCAAGTTTAGGAGAGGCCAGGCTTCAGCGTATCGGACAACGTTGTGTTGCAACGCTGGTAACGTTTTGCTTTGGGGTGAAAAAAACCCCCATCTCCAGCCCACACCACGTCCCCAGAAAAAGCAGCCGCCGCGCTTCGTGCTGGACTGGCATGGCTCTGCTGGGGGGGGGAAGCAGCGGGGATCCGATGCAGCAGAGAGGGCCTGAGAGAGGACAGCAGCCATCCACGTCTGCAGATTTACCTGCATGCTTCAAAGGGATACTTTTTGCCTGTTTGAAAAAGATTTAATGCCAAACTGGAAATAACTTCGCTTGCAGACTCCAAAGTAAATGCTGCTGTGGTTGGTTTTTTTTCCCTTCCCACTGGAAAAGCTTAAATTTAAGTATACATTGAAGTATTACAAGGAGCACAAAGTAAAGACAACTATTGGGGAAAAAAACCAAAAAAACCAAAACAACCAAAACCGAAGAACCCCAACCCACAAGTAAATTGATTAAAAAACACCCTGTCGTGGTTACCATTGCTGGCCCTCTCAACATGGAGCATAACCAGGAGCTGAACAGCTCAGGGCATCAGAACATCTCAGTGCCCTTAGTTAGATGATTTACCTATCAAATTGTTACAGAACATCCTACAGACGGGAAATACCGCTCTGAATACAGGCTGAATGAGGGAGCAACCCTTTAGAACCAGAAGCAGCCACCAGAACAGTACATTAACCGTCCTCCTTCAGCCACACGGAGGATGTGCAGCGGTTTGTTTATTTATTTATTTTAAAAAAGATGACCTGTAACACAATTTAGAAAATTTCTTTGTATTTAGCAAAGGAGAAAATTTTTCTCTTGTAATGCTAGCCTAGATGAGATTTGAAACGCAAAAGCCCTATTAAAATTAAACCTACTTGGTCAATGAGTTAAGAGGCAGCTGAAACGGTAATCAAAGTCCTTCTGAGCACAAGCGTGGAGAACTTTGCTTTACATTTCATCACAGATTAAGTAACTAAACCTCAAGAGAAGATGCAAGGAAGAGATAGGCAAACAAGGGGACTTAGGAAAGGTATTACCAAATGCCTGATAAAGCAAAGCAAAACCAAGCCCCTGTGCCCTGGGCAAAGGTGCAGCCGCAGGTCGCAGAAAGCTCTTTTTTATGGCCTCACGAGCAGCTGGTTTGTGCGCTGACCCTTTAAACCCCCCTGCCACATCTCTCGTTCGGCCAAGTTTGCCCTTCTGTGAGCAGGCAGAAAGTAAGCACTTTTTCCAGATTAAAAAAAAAACAACCACGATACACTTAAGACATCCACGGGCTTGGGACAGCCAGGCTAGGCTACAAGTGCCCCGGGGAACTTGCCAGGAACGTCCCCACCACATTCAGAATGGGGTTGGTGTCACCAATATCAGCGTATTTTAAGTTTTTATCAAACAAAACATACCCTTAGACACTTCAGGTAAACCTCAGACCTTAAAACTGGGACACATGCACACACAGAGCCCCTGAACTGAAAGAGGATCACGGTTCGACTGAAGTTCCCATCCCCAGCTCCAACTCCTCCACGAGGTATTTCCCCCGGTGCCAGACCTGTTTGCCCTGGCTGAGCACGACATTGGCCATCCGGGCACATCTCTGCCTGTTCAAAGGTGTTCAGCAAAAACGCCGGGGATCTGAAAGCCCGGCAGTGAGCCCTCCTGCTTCTGAAAGGAATTAAATGGATGAAATCAGCATCAGGGTGACGTAGTGCGCCCTGATAAAATGGGTGAGACAATGAAGTACCTTTAGGAGACTTCTGCAGCAGCAGTTCATCTATTCCAGGCATTTGATTACACGTTGGAGTAAAGACCATTTGATTAAATGTTGTAAAGTGCTATAAAAACCACATTGATAAAAAAAAAAAGCCGCTTGAGTATGAGGAGAGGAAACAAGACTATTGGGAGTCACCTGCAAGGTCTAGGCAGGGACAAGGTGAACTTTGATCTGTGATGGACAGAAGCTTTAGCCCAAGCTTTGGCAAGGTGCTGCCTTGGAGAGAAGAGCAAAGTCTGGCTCCCAGGGAAGTTCCTCCCAGGCATTTTCTGCAGGGCTGGTCCCCCGCTTTGCCCGGAGCCGTCCCAGCATCCCGAAGCTCTGCTGTCCTTGGCCACTAGCACTCAGAGGCTCAGGAAGGGAAGCGGGGGGAGAGGAAAAGGAAAAACAACTCTGCTTTCCCAGCAAGCGTGAGCCTATTTATGATGAATGCCAGCTCTGAAAGCACACAGGACAGACAGGGCATTTTCTGCAGGGCTGGTCCCCCGCTTTGCCCGGAGCCGTCCCAGCATCCCGAAGCTCTGCTGTCCTTGGCCACTAGCACTCAGAGGCTCAGGAAGGGAAGCGGGGGGAGAGGAAAAGGAAAAACAACTCTGCTTTCCCAGCAAGCGTGAGCCTATTTATGATGAATGCCAGCTCTGAAAGCACACAGGACAGACAGGGGG